AGTGGTAATATGAATAGCTCATTTGGATTAATTTTTGAACAGAACCTGATGTTTATTTGTCAGTGTGCGCTACTGTGACTAACAGCTGGGGCTAAGCCCATGTGTTTTTGCCTGTTGTCCTCTACCATTGGATTGTTAATCACCAAACTGCTTTCATTCATTGTTTTCATACGTTCATGAATTAATTAAAATAATACAAATTTTTCCGTTAACCTCCAATCACACACTGCTACTTCAGATAGTGCTGAAACATTTTCACCCTTTCACAGACCCCTAATTTTCCCCAAAAATAATCGTTATGTAGCCACAAACATATTTCCCCTTCTTAGTGTTTTGTCTCAGTAATGAGCCACTGATAAAAAGCCTGAGACACAAAGCTAAGACCTGCCACATCCAGTGGGGCTCTAAATGTATTTTAAAGGATAAAAAAAAGACACAAGCAGTCAATATAAAATGGTGTCCTTACTTCCGCGCCTCACACTGACACATGCTGCAGGAGTAACACGTTATGACACATGCAGCTCAGTGTATCACACTTTGCATAATGCTCTGTGACACTAAAGCTCCACAGGATCTCGTTTTTGCTCAGAGTATTTCCTGTGGCTAAACTGTGTCACATTTCGTGACAGCTGCCTGTTCAGCCTGTCCTCCAATGGTGGTCTCTGTAGGGCCGACGGGAGGTGGAACAGTGTGGAATTGATTTTTGCCCAGTTTTGCCTCACTGAATCACAAAACAACTCCCACCCCAGCTCATTATCTGTGTTGAGTGAATGCTTTGGAGTATGGAGGCAGTGCTCTGTTCAGGACTGAGCTGATACACACCAGAGTATAAGATAAGTTACAAAGGAAAAACTGGGGCTAAAACATGCTTTTTGATACTTGCCAAATTATAGTATAGTAGTACAATCCAGCTCCATCATGCTTTGAATCATGCTGCATCATGCTGCCTTTGAGCCATTAAATATTTATTTTGCAATGTATTTAATCTCCAAGGTATTTCATGAGCTCTGCTTTGTTGTTAAAAAAATGGTGCCATTGGCTAATTTCACATTAGAGCTTTTTGTTGTTTTTTATATAAAAATTCAAAAATATTTTTTCCCCAATGTCAACCCCCATGTCAACCCCAACCAGCCCCTCCTTACACAATATCCAGTCACATAACAATGTCATTCCAATGCACAAACTCTGCTTGTAAATGATACTGTCAATATGAGCGATGACTGAGGCGAGTCCACAGGCACGTTATCAGCCAGGAGAGGGTCCATCCAGCAGCAGCGGGCTTCTGGCACCACTGAACAAGACAAATTGATCAGTCCAACTCCAGATGAAGCTGTGTTGTTAATGGTGACCATCGAGCATTTAACAGTCAGCGCAGTCGTGTCACAGAGTGAGCACTGTGGAGGTGGCTGCATCATTTACAAGTACATGTCAAGGGCCAGCTGGGTGATACACACTCTCATTCTCCTTGTGGATCCTTCTGTCCCGGTGGTTTCTGGCCAAATTGTCACCCGATAACATTGAGCTGTACCCAACATAAACAGCAAATGTATGACCACGGCGTGGCAGGGTAATAGACAAATGTGTTGTCTCTGCGGGAATTAATTTGGTTTGTGATCTACATAGCAGTAATCGCTCATGTAGTGTCAGCAATATTGCATTTTGAAAAGTGCCTTTGAAACCCATCTCTGTTATGGGGACCAAATCAAGCCTGCACTGTTGCCAGAGGCAGAATTTGCTGGGCAGATACACATGGACACCCTAAGTAACAGTCTTTAAAATATGTTGCAATAAATATCCTTAGGCAGAAAAAAACGTGCAGGTAGTGGAGGTAGCCTTGTGTGTCCTCCCATGTCTCCATGGTTACATCAGTTTTTTTCTTCAAGTGGTGGAAAAATAGGGTTTTAGTAACTGTATTCAAACACTCCAAAATCTTTATAAATTATATTAAAGTATCCAGGTTCCAAAAAATATGCAAAAGCTACAGTGTGTCTTAAAACTTTATTAATCTTCTGATGGCTGATCCTTTTCAGGGTCGCTGCAGCGCCTGGAGCCAATCCAAGCAGTCAGGAAAGACAGGGACAGTTGGACAGTTTGCTGGTCTATCAGCAGGTTCCATACAGAGACAAACAATCATTCACACTCACATGTACTGTATATCCACAATATTGTTTTGGACTGTTGGAGAAAGTGTGAGTGCCAGAGATACACACACACACACACACACAACATCCAAATGCCAAACTGATACACCAGGGAATCGAACGACTGACTGACTCATTAAGACACCAGGTCTCTTCTTCAAGTAAGACCTGTTTAGGTGATGAGGCAGAGGAGATCCTCCACTGAGTTCTAAGTAAAGGTCAAATAACTTACTTGGTTGTCTATCTATTTGCTCAATTTCAATCCAACTCTTCGTCTTAAAAAGATTAATAATTAGTTTTACACGTACAAAACTACAGTATACACACAGTACAGGTCGACAAGAGACAGAAAAGCTTGAATAGAGGTGAGGGATCTCAGTGCAAATCCGGACTGAACAAATGATGTCAGGCCATGAAATAAAACAGAACTGGAATTCAAGCCATAACACAGCCCACAAACTTACCAAATTTAGCTCCGCGACCCAGTTTTTGGTGAGCGTCTCATTTAGAATCCTGCACGTCATTTATATTGTATACAGAGCAGCTCACGCTTGATTGGAGTTTATTCTACATTAGTCAGTAAAAGGAAGTTTGGGTCTTTTTTCTTCTTCATCTGACTGCTGGGCATTTGTTTTGTGGCGCTGCCTGTCACGGTACACTTTGGCAATTACTGCTCATACGCCAAACCAACAGTCACTCGCATGCAGGACTATCCAGAGATGTTTGCTGCATGGAGAACATTAGGATGAATGTTTCTTGTCCTTTTATTGTACTGTCAGAAGATTACAGGCTTAGAAAAAAATCGATTTTTTGGCAATGTTCAGGACCACACACCGTACCGTCTGTGAACACATCAAATCATGTTGTTTCAAAGTTTTTGTTAAATCACATTCTCTGCTAATTCACTGTAATCCCTTTAATGCAAAACAAGAGCAGAGGATGTGAAGGAGGGAGGTATTTGCTTGTTTATCATAACAAATCCTGAGAAATCTGCAGCGCTGTCTGCCTCTGATTTTGGTTTTCCTAAAATGAAGCGGCTCGAATTTGTCTTCTGCTGAATTTTGTGTAAACCATCATCATCCAGTAATTAGCACATTGACAAACACTGTGAGAGTCTGTTATTTAGATGCAGGTAATTCAATCAATCTATCAATGTGTTTTATTTACAACAAGGCCGAACTTATCAGACGTATGAGATATTTCCTATGAATTATTTTGGGTTATCTGATCAGCGTCATTTCCTCAACATTTAGACTAATTAAACAACACGTCTTCCGTTTCTGGTTGTCAAACATTTGAGAAAAAAGACAAACCGGTTCCTCTGCACCTGTAATCATCAAACAGCATGTGATGACAGAGATTTAACTCGGAGAGTTGTCAACATATTAGCCTCCTTCTTTTTCCCTCTGCTTTGAAGAGACAGATGCTCCCAGTCAGTTTGAACAAACTGAAGGCACACAGCAGTTCGTATGTTACAAACCATTAAAGTGCAAACACAAATAAATGCATTCTCTCTTTTTGCTTTTGCTTCCAACACTTGATGACCTCTAATTTGACTCCTCTTTTCATTTCGATGTATTGAAGTAGGTTTTGTCCACAGCCTATCTCTGTTTTTTCTTCTTCACTGTAATAGTGTCTATAAACAACTTATCTAGTTTTAAATCACATCAGAGCTCCCCTTGGTTGACTTTCACTGCAGTGCACACTGTATAAGCTGTGGACAGGTGTAATGGTCACTGGGTCTCACACCTCCACATTTAAAACAAAGCTCATTTCAACTAAATAATTCCACAATCCTTAATTACTTTTTATTCATTATTATTATGTTTTGAGAAAAGTTGTTTAGTTGTTGTTGCTGTTGCTAATTATTTTTAATCCAATTTTACCAAGTTAGTCTAATTATTTTTCCAAGACAATTCTGGTATAATTGGTGGTAAGTAAGCAAACCGAGTAGAAATGAGGAAACAGCAAACCAAACAATCCCACCTTGACATATATTAATACATTTCACGTCTTTTATTTTAGCTGTTTGAGAGTGATAGATTTCTTGAATTTCCTTTTCAAGCCAGAACGTATGTGTTGTTTGTATCACAAATTTATGTGCAGTGAATTACTCGCGTTAAGGTACAAAAGTAACTTTTAAGCTAATTGAAAAATCATCGTCACCTAGTTAAAATAACTACATGCATTACCTTGAAAGACAACACTATTTTTCACTGTTTATAACAAGCTTTAGTAAATAAAACTAAGTTCAAGTGTATTCTTATTTTGCTGATCAAAGTTTGGTCACACAGGTTGGAAGTATTTTAAACAAACTTTTCCTGATGTCATACACTTATGTAGAAAAATTTCGTTTTTTTCGTTTTTTTTTTCTAAAGATATTCACTCAAGTTCACTCCCGCTTCTACAACAATCAATTTCACCAGTGAGGCTCTTAGTTTCCTCTAGTGACCAGAAAATGACTGATACTTCAACGTTTGTACCCACATAATACAACACATGTACTTTTAAAGGAGAATCATTTCTTACAGCATATGAATTATGTAACACTGTGACCCCTGCTATGACTTTCCTCAACTAGCTGCCTGTCACACAAATGTGATGTTTTGCTAATCATGTTTAAAGTACACCAGAGGTCTGACCAGGAGCTACATTGCTGACCTTTTAGATACCATTGAGTGCTCGTCTCAAATCCTCAGAAGATTTCCTCCAGACGGCTGGTCTGAAATCCAGAGCAGCCCTGCTGCCACAACTCTTCCACACACATTTGATCAAGTGTCCGTGGTGTTTATATTAAACAGCAGAACTCATTTGGTAAACATATTCACAACATCACGTTTCTTCTTCTTTTTTCTCCAGAACAAGAGCCTGAAAACTAAATTACTTTCAGGAAACAAGCTCTGTGACGCCTACGCTGAAGAGGTAAAAAAAATGTAACTTCTTTTATCACACACAGACATCATTTGTAGCTCACATGTTTATCCTCTAAAGGTAAAGTACCTGTATTAATATGCATTGTGTGCAATGTGCATTTTGGAATTGCAAGCAGCTCCTGTCTCCATGGTTACAATCTCGCAAATTCACAACGCGGTTTAGTTGCATCCGTCTTCATAGAAATCCTTGATCCCTGACCATTTAAAGTAAATTGTTTGTACACACACCTAAATGGTCTTCAGCAACACGATAGCAACACGGTACTACTGTATACAAAGCCCACCCACTGAACAGACCCACTAGAGCAGATCATCTTCCTCCATCCGACCAATCCTCTGTCTGCTGTACTGCCCTCCACTACATTCCCACATTTCCCCTGGGTTCTTCCCCTTGGGATATTTGAGACGACAGCTTCAACACTAACATGTGACCACTAACTTAATTACCTATGCTCAATATAAATGGGGCATAATAATAATAATAATAACTTATATTTTATTAGCAATAGGTACCTAAGGTGCTTTACACATGCATCAGCAACACTAAGGGTTGGGGTAAAGGAACAGATCAGAGGGAGGAGGCAGGGAAACACTAATATATATTTCAATGTTCTATTCCATCTGGTTTTTTCCTAATAATCTCGACCAACTTACTCACGTCTGTTTTGACAGTCAGGTGTAGTCAGTTTTCCCAAATGTCATGTACCAACATTTATTGATCCACATTAAAGCTCAGAGGTGCCCCCCTTTTTTTTTCTTGTGAAGCATTTGTTGGTAAAGAGCTGTATTGACCCTGGAGACTGGAGCCACCGAAGACAGGAAATTGGTGTTATAATTGCAGCCCTGTTTCGTTCACAAATCCTACAGCTGAGCATCCCTGACATTTAATCATCTCAGCTTATCCGAGCCATCATCACACATACAAACTCTGGATTGATGACAGAACATTTGACAATGCCGACAAGTCTGTCAAATGCAACACTTCATCAGTGAGCTGGAAAGCACACAGAGGCTACAAACAGGTCCTGATTGAAGCTGTCGTCAGTCAACATCCTGGCAGTGTTCCTCTTGCATCAGAAATGATCATGATTTTGTGACTGCAAACACAATCATAGCAATAACTATTTCCACTACTCTGAGAGTAATACTGTGAAGTGTCCTTGTCTTGGGGTTCTTTTAGTGTTTCTTCAGATTTTCTTTTTTTAATTTGTAGATATAGGAAGGGTAGTGTCTGCAATTCCCTCGTCAGGTGATAAAAGTTGAAGTAAATCAGTGAAAGGCACCTTCTTTAATTGACTCACTTCCATCCTGTGAAGATTTTCGTATTTAAAAGGCAAAGGGTTAAAACCAAAGTGGTAATCACACTGTAATTACTGCACAGTGACAGATGGAGCTGGATACTAAAGTTGATAAATTGTTGCCATCAAAGGAGATAATTGCACATTACATCACTAGTTGTCTGTAGTAAAGGAAATATGCAAATTCCACTTCAAGCATGGATTTTACTTACAGTATATTCTGATACATTGTAGACACAGAGCAGTTTCTAAAACATAAGTTACACAACTTGACAGTACAATAGTCCTATTCTTTGAACTTATCTTTGTGTTTTCAAATAAATCTTCTGTTTGTTCTTTGTCAATTGGAATAAACCATATTACACACAGACTTTTACTGCTGGCTTTGGATAAACCTTTGGTTTGGTTTTTTAAAGATTTACTCACTTTAACATTTCCTTCATAACATCAAGTTATGCATCATGCATAATGATGCATTATTTTCCTAATGTGGGTAATGATCTGTTATTCGTTATTTGTTAAATGTTACATTTACTTACAGTGCACTGATTTTCTTGCATCATACCAGCAGCATTATATATTCTCCATAAATAATTGGTTTATTATCACTGAATACTCATAATAACACTAAATGCTATGAATCATCAAATTAAAAAAAAGTATTTATTTGTGAAATGATTTTAGACACTCCTGTTTGTTGGAATTAGATGCAAAATATTCAGTCGAACTGTCAAATATCTGACCTAAAAAAAAAATCTGCATGTTCTGGTCAGGATACAAGAACATTGTATACAATACTGGTTCCCAAAGTAGGGTTGAGTCACAATAAGGGGACGCAGTGCTTTGGTGTGGAGAGAGCAGCAAGTCAACTGATGAAACCTGTTGAATATCTATCACGAGCAACTTAAAGCATCTATCGCTCGTGATAGCACTGTTTATTAACCATGTAGCTTGTAAAGAAATCTAGGTCAGAGTAAATATTGCAATGAAACTTTAAATTGTTGCCTACAGTGAAGTGTTCATCTCTCACTATGTTCTAAGCGCTCATTATTAAAAAGCACTAGATGTGTTTCAGCACAGGGTCTCAACCCTCCGCAGTTCATGTGAGTTTGTATTTGCTCATCCAGTCAGCAGCTTCCTGTTGTTCATCCAGTCAGCGGTTTGTCCAGCGGCTGCTTTGAGGATGGATTGTTTTGGTTGTTGTTAGTTTGATGTTCTAGATAAGATGGAATCAGATGGGAATTGTCCCCATTGTGTACTGCATGCTCTTGGACAGGACACTAATGCAGTGCTTACAGTGTTGATGTATGATATCAACATTTGAAAGCTAGAAACAAACAGCACTAATGTAAGTGATATGGAGTAGATAAACCTTGAAAAATTTGAAAATGCTGTGAATACAGTCATAATAGTACAGAAATATGTTGATCAAAATGACCAAGGTTGTTCACATGAGGTTTACAGGGACCATTAGATATTATGGCAGCAACACAACTTTATAGTTAGTTATTATTATTATTATTATTGTCATACAGGTATAAGGAGTGTTCCGATGCAAAAGGCACTTAACTCTTACAGTAGATTGTCAGGGTAGAAAATATTAGTATAGTGTATGTGTACATGCATATAATGTTTAAAATGTTAGTGCAAAACTTTTTTTATTACCAGGAAATTTCCATTGAGAACAAATTTCTTTTTTTATCATTATTATTCTATACATATGTCCCTTAAACTGGCATATCCTCCAAAGGCCTTTACTGAAATTGCAGCAAATAAATAGCAATAAAATGAGACATCAAACCACCACTCCCAGCAGCCTTACCCCCTGTTGCAGCCAAATAGACTGGATCTCACTGCCATTATGAACCTCACAACACACCTCTGTAGAAGCACAATGGCAGACGTCTCTACATTTATATTCACATTAGAATTTGACGCCTTTGAAGCTTTGCAAAATACGTCACTCCAGTAATGCATGTTAATAATACTGCACAGACTCTAACTCTAGTGACTAATGGCTGATGAATCTAGTGCATCTCACTGCACAGAAATGACTACTCTGAGCTGCTGGTTCACTGGGGGAAAAAGTCATTCAATATTTCAAAGCCAGACACAGATGTCCTCTGGGGAAACAACTCATCGCTAGAAACCTGAGTCCACCTACGGGCTAAAACTCTTGAGTGAAGGTGAAGGACGCAAGGCTTTAGAGACCATTATGTCTGTTGCTCTTCTTTTTTTCAAAAAGCATGAATTTATCACCTATTTGCTATTCCATCAGATTTATGATACTGCTTCAGGTCATTACATGGGTGAAGGATGTTGGCTCTCACCCGTGTTTCTGCTGTTTTTAACAGAATCACATTTCATTCTTGGGTTTGGGTGAAGGGGAAACTGACTTAATGTGAAATCTAAGCAGGAAAATGTTGAATTTCTAATCAAAGATGGTTAATCAGCTGCAGTAGTTGGTAATTGATGATGTGTAACTTTTAGATAAAAGAAAACCCTACATTTTAAATTACTAAATGAAAAAAAGGTATTTTTATTGTAAATTGCTAAATCACAAAATAATTGTGAGAAGCTAAGACTTCCTAAAAGGTAAAAACAGTACGAGTATGAAAAATGATTGCCTGAGACTTTTATTCATACATAACAATTTTGTTAAAAAACAGCAGATTTCCACTGACGGGCAGTTATGCAAATAGAAACATGTGAGAGGAGAGAGAAGTCAGAGGAAAAGTGCAAGATCGTTGACAGAAAGGCAGAGGTTACCACTCTTTACAACTGTAATGAGCCGGAAAAGCATCTTGCATTGTGCAACGTGTGGTATCTGGAGGCGAATATCAAACAGAAATAAGATCTGAGGCTGCATCCGAGCCTGGCTCAGGGAAACAGACAGGACAAAGTAGACAAATATAGCCTGGTGTGATGAATTATGTATCTAAAGTTGTGTCAACAAGTTCAATCCAGGCTTGCGGCGCTGTGAGTGGTGGTCAGATAATAGTTTAGGGAACATTGTGGCCTCATCTTTTTTGCCCGTCGCAGTAGTGGTATTTCTGATGTACATCCTGCCATGGCCACAATGCACATTTCGGCTGTAGCATCTTAGCAGGCAGAGGTTGACCCACATAACCACATCTGCTATTCATATCCCAAAGAGATAAGTCTGTTTTGATAAAACAGTGAAGCCTGCCACAGTCTTAGCGTGCCCTTGCTACAATGAATTCCCCGGTGTGTGCATTTACTTTAATGCCATGTACAATTTCCACTGTGCAGCCAACGTCCATAACTCACAACTGAGATCTTAGAGCATTCTTCACACGCATGAATGTTTGATGTTTGGAGGATTTGAAACTACAATTATTTTTGAAGATGACGCATGCTCCCGTCTGTACATAAGTCCTCCTGCAGTACAATTAGTTATGTGCACAGCGGGCAGAACATAGCGGGTCTTTACGATAAAAGAGACGTATTGCTGAGGCATTCTACTTCATTCACTCTCCTTATGGATTAAATCAGATTATCCTGACTGAAATGACTGAAGTAAAATAAAATATGTGCTTTCAGTCAGTTAGTAAAGCCTGGCCACCAGCCAGTCACTTCTTCAGAGCTGCTTTAAAGCATTAACTGATCTGGCACATTTGTACAAACTGAGTTGTCTGTGTAAACGAAGAGGCAGTGCTGCAAGAAAACATACAAATACACAATGACACCAAGTCTCCGCTTCCACTGCTGCTATGGTTACCTGCTTAAACAGACCAAAAACAGGCAGAAGTTCAGTTGAATTAAACCCAGACTGGGACTAAAACACAGATGACACTCATCTCAGTTCCTTCATTCCTGACAGATATGTCCTGTAAGTGGCAGTAATGAACTCAAATTTTATGAAGAACAGACATAAGATGCATATAGTGAGTGTGAATATTGGTGGAAGTCAAGACCAAAAGTCTTCCAGATGGCAGGTTGGATGATTTAGTCAAAATCCAAAAAAACCTGAATTTTTAAATTGCAGTCCTTTTATTAAATCATTTTGAATGACACCCCAACAATAACCTGATACATGAGCTATGTTGCTAGAGTTTGGGGTTTACTGTTATGTTAATTAATTAGATTTTATATGATCCAACACAGAGTTGTTTGGATATAAAAACAGACACAATGAGGTAACTCACTGAACTCCAGTTTTTAAACTTTACAACTCAAAAACAATGACAATCCAACAGCGACTTCTTTCCTACTAAGGCAGCACTAGCAGGCTAACTAAATGTATTTTCATTTTTTAATTGTGACATCAACATGTCTTTAAAAAAACAAACTTCTTCATGTCTCGATGTGACAAAAACAAGACTTTTTCTTGACATGGTCTTGTACTGAACTTGTAATGATAACATGTGCAGTATGTTATCATTATACATAGGATCATCAGGTGGAGACCATGATAGATTGAGCTTTTAAAGGTTGGAGGACCACTGGCTCCTTCTGTATGTTCACCAGCGTAGTGGCTTCGACTCTACCTTCATGTTAAGGTGTTATTCTACCCCAACAATAAACGGCTCAGTGGTGTGACATTGACAGTCAACTTCAGTTATTCGAAAGGTGCTACTTGTTAACAGCACTCTCCAGAGTGTTAGAGTCACCTCAGGGTCCGTGTTTCCTCCACTCTGTCAAGTTTATTTTGGATAAATGACACCACACCAGGTGAAATTAGAACGTTGATTTCGTCTTTAGGGAAGAGATGGCAGCACTGTCTTGTAAGTGGAAATAGATGGTGTGACAGACTTTCTCCTCCTGTTGAAAGATGTTTTTATTTTCTACATCTTCGACAAACCCCTGGTGTCATTAAAGGTATGTCCCTTTTCCCACAGATGCAGACTGATAGGATCCTGTGTGGAGCCATTGATTTTTTTTCAAGTGTTTTATTTTGTTCCTTCAAATAAACAACGTCTTTTCAAAGGGTTTGAAGACATCCAAGAGACTTGCTTTTGAAAATACATCTGCTTCATAACATTTTTAAATGAAAAAGTAATCCCAAAAAACTGTTAGTTTCTCAGTATAACCTCATCTTGAACTTATTGGTATCTGAAATTAGTGGAAGAAATTGTTTTTAAAAATGATGATAATCAGATTTGCATGAAATGGCAGTATTAAATGTATCTAAATGGAGAAAGTTAAATTACTTTCAGAAGATATGATAAAACCCATCTAAAATGTTTAGAGTTCTAGGCTGTGGAAAATGAACAAACAGTTCCATGTGATTTATGTACACATATACAGTAGGTAATATATTACCATAATAATAACACAATGACATTGGTGTCATGTGTGTGAAGTGGTTTTACACAATGCTGCAGTCTCTGTAATAAAGACATTTAAAGTACAATATTTTAATTTTATAGCCCTAAACTTTATTGCCTTCATTAAATCTGACAGCTACTCAAACGTCTCTTAAACTCCATATACACAGTTCGGGCTACAGTTCACTCTTTCTGTGCTTTAAATATCTATTTTTCTCCTAGCGTTGAATAAATGCTTCAACGAGAATGATTTGAACACCAAAATATCCCCAAATGTAAAACTAATCGAAACAAAAGTCCACATAGAAGGTGAAGGGTTGTTTGGGTGGGGAATGGGAGTAAAAAACATTCAAAACTGAATTATTTTTAAAATACTGAAACTAAGCCAAATTACCCAGTAAACACAGCACTATACACTATTTGTTTTGTTTAAAATTTAAAAAATGCAGGCTTTAAACCTCGGGGAGTTTTCGATCAGCAAGATTTGCAACAAACTAATGTATCATAGAGTCTCTTGGGCTTAAACTACAAGTTCTGTTATTTATTCTACACAATAGCACAATACACAATAGCACAATACTTTTCCAATTTCAAAAACCTCAGCACACTGGAAACTTCTGTTATTTGTATTCATTGCAGGCTGCCAGAAGCTGACTCTGTGCCTTCGTTAAGGAAGTAGATTCATTTGATGACCCCGAGTCTTAAATTTGGGTCCACGGTATTTAACCCTATGGCTATTTATGAGGAGTTCTGGGAAGTTTAAATCCAGTTTAACAAGACAGTGGTTGGTTTATTAAGACTTGGGAGCACTCTTAGAAGAGGTACTAAATAAAATACGCCCAAAGAAAAAAAAATTGTTAAAGTTGAAAATAAATTAAAACAACCTTACCAGTTGTAAAAAAATGCTTTGTGTAGTACAACACATTACAAGAGACAGTCAGCTGTCAACTGGTAACCATTATTACATGATACATTGTAAAGCTACAGTATGAATTCCTTCTGTAATGGATTAGATTTAACCCTTTATATGTTTGGAGGTTGTTGAACGTAGGTTTAAATATCTAAATATGTGGATGGTGAGTTTTTCCCTCTTGCTGTCGCTCCAAACAGGACACTATAAAATTTGCTACACAACTGACACTTAAATACTACTAAAACACTTGACGCTAGTTTGACCTGTTTACACAAAATGCTGTTGTCATAGTCTTCTCAGGTTTCTTTTTTACAACTTGTATATATTACACCAGAAATTACTGAAAATAATACCAAATATATCCACCTAATACTGCAGACATTCATCTGTAACATCGATAAATAAATCAAAGCTCATCGAGCTAACATTCTGCCGTATTTTCTTGCATTTTTAAGTTAGATGTAAAGACTTTTCACAGTGTGAAAAAACAACTTTTAAAACATTTAGTTTCTAACTAACAGCACAGCCAGAAACCCCCTGAAAGGCTGCTTAGCCTCATGGGGCTGCTTTTAGTGTTCAAGCACATCATAAGCAACTTTGAGGACGGCTGTGTACCAGTCTATCTACCAGATACCCACTGCTCTCTGCGCAGCCACTGTTGTAGAGCAGCAGAGTGAATGTCAGACAGAGACGGTCACTGCGTGTGTTTGGGTGCACCACGAAAAAAAAAAAAACTGTGTAGTGTGTTTCATCCGCCAGTGACAGACAGGAGCCTGCTGTAATCTGCATGTGTTTTGTGTTTGTATTAAGTGCAGCGGGGGGAAGGATTCAGGTTTAGACAGAGGGCCAGCAGTGGGAGCATGACTGCGTAATTGTGTGGACTGTGCTGTGCAGTGAAGGGGAGATTTGATATTTCCATGCTCTCAGTAGGCTCTTCCTTTAAGCCAGGCCTTTAGCCCAGGGAACACTGACAAAGGAGTCTTCTGCTGCAGCTGGCAGAATCCTGCTATGTGATCTAAAACCAATTTCTCTATTTGAATAAGCTAACACTTATTTTCTTATCTTCCCATTGCAGTCCAAAAAAATCCAGGCTCAACTGAAAGAACTGCGGTACGGGAAAAAGGATTTAATTTTTAAGGTAAGCAAAAACTAGAAGATGTCGTGGGGGGTGACATTATAATAGTTCCAGACCAGGGGTGAATGTATACTTCATTGTACATGAATGGGTGACCCTATCAAACAAGGTTCTTTTAATTAATTTAGTCCTCATTTACAAAGTCCTTCCAGCAAATCCACTGATTAGCACCTACAGTTCTCAACATAATGCTTTGTACTCCCCACTGACCCAACTGCAAGGACCAACTGTTCCCAGAGTCTGGTACTTATGTAATAATTATTAGCATTTGCTTATTCAGAGCTGACCTTTCATGGCAGTTTAAAAATGTCAGCTTACATTATTTCTGGCTGCATGAGGCCAGTTCTCTTGAACATACAGTACTCTTCAATCCCTTATTCCTTCACCTAAATTTCTGCCTGATGTAAATAAACAAAAATGACCCGTTCAATATTCCAAAAGAGTAAATGTTATATTTCTTGTAATATCTGAATATATCGTCCTTTCATACTTTCTCTTCTTCTATTCCAAGCCCTGTGAATGATGGATGCATCGACTTGTTTGCCTCATGTCTCTGCTTGTAAATCGTTGTCTCTAAACAGCAGCCTTCACTCACCCCCTCCTCCCGACCTCCCCAAAAAAAATGGAAAAACATTATCTCTCAATGTCATTAAACATTGCACATGGAGCTAAGAAACATTATGTTTACAGAGGTTTTCTGCATGAGGACAAAAATGATTTGATTACACTGGCTGCCCTGTCCAACAATCATTTTTGAGAAATGACAGTCAGCTTTTTCTCTGATGGAAAGGTCAGAGGAAAATGCATCATGTCCCTGATCCCAAATGATCCCTCTGTCTTATGCTGGAAACTCATCAGTATTCCCCTTATGCTCTGGCCAAATGTCTAGTAGTTCACAAGGGAACGCAAAGTAGAGAAAAGTCACTCAAGTTGCAGAAATGTCATCAATCTCACGGGGGACATCACTCAAGGCACCTTGACCAAAACAATGGCGCTTTTGCTGGTATACCAAGTCAAAGTGCAGCATGATGTCACTACAAAGAAGAACTGGAAAAAAGGCTCACAAGATTATAGACCACACTGAGACACACCTAACAAACAAAACACATAAAAACTCCACAAGTCATTAAGTTCTTTGTCACTCTATTTGTCTTTGTTTTTTAGATTCTTCTACAAAGAATCATGTGAGAGTCCACCCTGACATTTTGGGGTTATTGTAGCAGCATTAAAGAGACATTCTGTATCCTTCAGCGATGAAACATCGTCAGACTTTTCTTACCATAGAGAAAACAGACTTGGAAAGAAACAGACAAATGAACCTAGAACAGAACAAAACAAAAAAGGAAGCTTTTTGTTAAATACATTAACACAGATTCATGAAACGAGGACTTAAAGTACTCGATCATACCTCAGCTTCTATGATTCAAAGGAAAAACTACAGAAGTAGACCAGAGAACTTTTGAATTCCAAACCCACTCTCAAAACTAAACTAAAAAAATAAAAAAAAAACTACTTAGAAGCTGGTTCCTCTTCACTTACTCATCCATAACAATGAAAAATTTGGAGAAACTGTCGGTTTTTATGCCTCGCATGTCTGGTATTTTTGGCCAGGGAACCGTGTTGAAGCCTTCACACTTTCTTTTCTCCATCAGTCCATTTTTAAGTTTGCCCTAGAGCTATTTCTCTGCAAGCATGGAGAGAAAAAGAAAGCAGAAAAGAAAAATGACGTCCTGATGTGGTCCCATGCCTTGTCTAAGAGAGTGGTTAGCGCCCTGCTGACCCCATGTCTCTTTAATGGCGCAGGCACAGGAAAATAGAACTTCAGAGCTGACCATGAAGGTCTGCATGTCTGGATCAGTGGCTGTGGACTGGCTGAGTGCTACATCAGTTTATGTTACTTCATACCATTCCCTGGAACCTGAATGATGTTTTCTCCAGTCATTAATATCTCTTGCCTCCTGCTCGAGGTTTTGTCAAAGGTTTTGTTTCAGTGGCCTTGAAAAAATTGAAAAAGTCTTCAGTGAATTTCTTTGTTTCATATACAGAGAAAGATAGAGCTTTCATGTCTTTGATTAAAAAAACGATCTTCAAATCTCTCTAGCACCTCTGAAATCCCTCTCAGGCTTTCGCCCAGCAGCTACAGATGACTTTGCCCTAAACTTCTGAAAAGTACAAAAAAAAAACTTTTACTGCAGAGAGGAAGATGTGATTCTTGAGCTTGTTTTCAAACCCCTAAAAATTAAATGTTGCTCTGTCCTTGACTTTCACTGCATAATTCAGCTCTTAGGGAAAACGTATATATGTTTTTTTAGCCACCTCATTGAACAGAATAAATGTCAGACATGCTCACCATTAAAAAGAAAAAAACATTACTCTGCGACAGAAACCAGTAAAGGCTGCTCCTGCTGTGAATCTGAATGTTCAGAAAATGCATCAGATGAATCCGTTTATTCAACCAAAAATAGTGTCTTTAGGTTTTATATCCCTTTCTACGAGACTGTTGATGCTGTTTGTTGACTTGGTGGAACTTCACTACATGTGCAGCTGCACTTTATCATGCTCGAAGCCCAGTAAAAAACTACCAATAAAGCCAGAGGCTTCAAATCCTGACAATTTCATCCATGGTAAAGGACTCATCAGAAAACACTTTGTTGGTGTTTATATGAGTTCCTATATACCGACTCAGTAACCAAGACAATATTATCTATTCAGGGATAAAAGCTTTTTATAGATGCTTATTAAAGAGATTACGATTTAAGATATTTGCCTCCTAATCAAACAAAATAAACTTGATTTGATTATTAACGCCATCTGCTGTCTGCACTTCATGTGAATCTGTGATATGTCTCTAAGATCAACAATGTTTTCAGAACAAACCTTGGTGTTGAAATACACGACATCAGGCAAATCTGAGCGGTTACAATACTTCATCATTGTGTTTGTGTTAGTTTGGTAGTGATAGTGTACGCTGGGGTAAAAACTGATGATGGGTCTAATAATACAGAGCAGATTCAGTCCTTTGTGCTCTATTGATAGTTCTGCGTAGATGTGCTGGGAATAGAGAAAACGCTTTGCATGCACAGAACAAAGAGGGTTCAGCTGATTCAGAACTACTCTGATTCTTTACAGGGTCAGCAGCTAATGGACTTGGAACACAAGTTAGCTGTAGCCAAGGAAGAATTAGAGAAGACGGCACTGGATAAGGTGAGCAACAGGGAAACATTGGTTTACTCATGGTTTTCACACATTTCTTTATTCACAGAACTGTTCATTTTAGGCCACACCACAACAGAGGGATTCATTTAATTTTGTCCATCCAGTCATGCTTTTTTTACAGAAAAATATTCAATTCGGATTTTATTTGCATCCAGAGAAAACTGCTGACTGAGAACTTAATAGTAATTGGTAATTAAAATAAAATAATTAATTATAATTATAATTATTTTCTGTGTACTCACCAGTGCTGTTTTCTGTTGGGTCTAAATAAATACGCATTTAATTTAAAAACCAACATAGACATCATATGTCGTATATGCACTTTCAAACAGTGTACCAACATGACTCAAATTGGATTTGTAAATTATGTTTTGTTCATTCCTCTGGTGGTTTTCCACATCACTTAATAATTCCTTCCTGTTTGCCCAAAGCCTCTTAAAAGCTTTAACGCTTAAGTGCATTTTCCATGTGAAGTGAAGGATGAATGGAGACATTGAGATTTTGTGTTGCATGTAAAATCTTGTTTGGGAACAGGAGTCTCAGCTGAAGGCTCTGAAGGACACGGTTCACATCTGCTTCTCTGCTGTCCTGCAAAACCAGCCCAACAGCCCTCACAGATTCCCTGCTGCTCCTGCCCACTTGTTCAGATACTCATCGCTCATCAACAACTCCAGAGTCACCTTTCAGCAACCACACGCCAAGGTAATTCACTATTCAACTGTTCCAGGTGATTTAGTGTTTGTTTTCAAAAGAAGGCCTGGGCGTCAAACTGTTTTATATTTTATGAATGGAGTAGCTGCAGACGAGTCCCTGCCGTCCTTGAACTTATGACAGATCTAAATCCGAAATGTCAATGTTTGCTTCGCAAAGATGCCGAAGGAAGATATTTTTACACTTGGCATGGTTCACGTACTGCAGGCGCTGAAAAATAACAGCCATATTTGAATACAAAGAGAAAAAAAATTAACACAGTTCTAGATTTGTTTCACAGTTGTATGTATGTTAAATTGTTAAAATGTAAAAAATAATTAAAAAATGTTAAATTAAGTCATGTTAAAATGTTTAAAAATAAAATAAAAAGTATAGGCCCATATCTAATTGGATCAGAGCTTTATTTATGTTTGGTCCAACTCCAAAAAAAAAGATTCACACATTTCTGTAGTTTAAAATTAGGCTGACTGTAATGTTGCTCAGTTTTATGACATACTTTAAATGCAAAATGTTCTTTTGCTTGTATTTATTTATTTTAATCAGAAGCTGCTTATACAAAGTTACTGTTAGAGTAGCAGCCAGTTTAAAAATCCTCATGTACTCTTGAACATGCAGCGCCCCTTCTATTATATTTGTAGAATAATGTAAAATTGAGTAGATATTCATTTTGGAACATCCCTCCATGTTGTATACAATTTTTTCCCATTAACCCACTTCTTTTTACCTGGGAATAACTTCTGGGAATTATTTTTCAGTGCCAAAACATTCACACATACGAAAAATCAAATCATTCTACACACACATCATTCTACATCTCCCACATTATGTACTACTGTATTACTCTATGGTAAAGCCTTTATATAACTACACAATCAGAACATTCTGGACACTGACACATATGTGACAATTATTGCTTTTCTTTTCTGAGTGGATTTCCAGTGAGTGTCATTGCGTGGCCATCACTGCCCAGAGAGAAAGAACCCAGGAAATAGTATGACGTGTTCAGTTTAACAACATCTCTAAATCAAACTGTGGTCTAATGCTGAAGCTTCAATTGTAAATGGATTCTTTTCAGGTGTAATGGCAGATTTGGTTTGTTGGATCTGAGCCTGATCCACGTGGAGTAAATAATTCAAGGTGACAGGTTGTGGAAGGTCAAAGTCAAGGTCAACATACATTCAACTGAGAGTCTGAATTTAATCTATTTTAGAAAGAGGGAAAAAAGGGGGCTGCTGTCTAAATGATTTATCACCAAATGGAAATTATGGCTTCAGTTTAAAGATTTATTTTGTTTTGCCTTTAAAATTCAGCTACATTTCATAATTAGTAACATTTGTCCATTGTTAACTTTGACAATAACTTTGACTTTGTCCATGTTTCCTTTATTCTGCATAAATTTGAAACGTGCAGAAATGCACATTACTATATATTTATATTATATATACTCTCCACCAATCAGTAATGTCAGTCCTGATCAGAGGTTGTTTTAGTATTCAATTTTAAAACTCAATAGCAGCGGTCTATTTATGGTGATATATTAGCCGGTGTTTTATCCTCCTGTTACCTGCTGTAAAGTTTGTCTTTTAGAGGCGTTTCCACTTTTAATGCAGCCACAGTACATTTGGCAAATTCCACATTTGGGTTTTTATTAGTAATATTCTCTTTTACAAGCTACATTGTTTGGCTGCCCTGTCTTGGCATAATAATTATATTGCACCGGATTTTATAATAACAATTTTCTCAAAGTGACTCATTCCCATTCACATAAACTCTGCTTGGTGTTTGGTACAAACCAAAATAAAACCATTACATCCTGTTTTTGGTTCTCATTTGTCTGTTTTGTAATTCTCCAGGCCGTATCAATGCCGGCTCATGCACGATGTAAGCATCTCACAGAGCCAGAGACAAGTACAGGGAACTCAGATAGATGTGTGTTGATTTTTTTATGCTAATGAAGTTATTACTTTTCACTTCATTACCATACAAATAGCAGCGCTCCACGTGTGTGCAGTTGCCTTCTCCATTATCTGTTGTAGGCTCTGTACACTTTGACAGGAGGTGTGATAAATTCCAGTCCCACCCCCGCTGGAAAAATAACCGGAGTGCTCCATCTGTCCACTCTGCCTGTGCACGTGGGGGTGGGTCGCATCTCCCGTAAATCAACGCCATATTTGTTTCAAATTAAATCACAAACAAACACACAACAGTTGTGACCGTGCAGGACACAGGCAAACGGCTGAGTGGTGAAAAAAGCCACACTGACAGTGGAACAAATGTCAAGAACTTAGCCTTTTTGATGAGCGTCTGCTGTTCCTCATTAATATTTTAGCTGCACAATTATGCCGAGCGGTGTTATTACATCGTTTTTGTTGTTCAGTTTTAACTGAACCGTAGGGGAATGCACAGAGACGGGATTTTAATTCTACAAATGCACGTCTGAATTCATGCTAATTATTGTATGTGGATGAAAGTCTAATCATAATTGCGCATAGCCTAACAGAGCAAGACAGCTCTGCTGTGTCTTGGACGAGAGAAGAAAACCTTAATACATGCTGGGCGATGCTAATACTGACCAGAGCAGTTGTAAAAAAAATAAAAAATATGGCAGACAGACCTTAAATAAACACTGGCTTCAGTTAAATGACTGAGTTTATTGATTTACGTATATTTACAGTAAGAAAATGGATTGTGAGGAGCAGTAGACCAATTAATATTGCTGCATCACCAGAGATTTCAAAACAAACCCCATGAAGACAAGTCTTGAGTTTTGCATATTTTTGTTACATTTTATTGATATTGATATTTTAATAATTTGTTTTAGTAAAAAAAAAAAAACACATACATCTGCCTGCTGTTATTTGTATTTCTGTTCAAGCAGTATACAGATAAAAAATATTTTTGTCATATTTATGAATGTTGTTTATCTACCATTTACCATTTACTATCTATGTATAATGATGGCTGCCAGCTTCCACCAGCAAAACCTCCAAAACTAGAATTTGAATGAAAGCTAAAAAAAAATTGTCATTTGCATGGATTTGCTTGCAAACTGAGTAATAACAACAGTCACCATAGAACTAACTGCCCTAACTAGTGGTATCTCCGTCCACCTCTTATACATAATTTATGGTCAACCCTATGACAAATATACAAAGATGCCATAAGTCTAAAAACATATTTGCAAATAGTTCAAATGAAATCTCTAGCCACACTGTGGCTTTTCTCCATTTTTCCACATGCAGGATTATGGTGTATTAATAAATTCTTAATTGCAAGGACTAAAACTGTCAATAATTAATTAGCTTTCCTGTGGGTTCAGAGAAAGAAAGAGACGTTTATATAAGAAAACAGATTGTCTTTCATGTGTAATAAACAGCAGTAAACACACTGAAGCCTTGAAGACTTCTATCCAGGCTCTGGTCCATCCGTTAGTGAAACGCAACATGAATTTAGCTTTCATGTTTAAAACACCATCGAATCTGCCTTCACATTCAGAAATAAACTGTTCAATCCTGTCATTAAATTAACAGCATTATTTGCATTCATGATTTTTATAGTAAGTAAACATGTTCTGTGGTGGTGGCCAAACATTAGACAATCACACGCACAGAGACACACACATAACAGGAAGATTGATTGATTGATTACGTAACAATCCTGGGTCTAATACTCCAGTCAGACAGAATTCACATTTCATCCAAGTGAAGGGAGACATCTTAGATCGAGGGTTTTAAATTCTAAATAAAACTCTGCTGAATACTGCAAATTCTGTCAAAGTGATGATTGAAATGTTCACAGTCCAGGAGCTCAGCTAAAAAGGTTCAGTTTCAGCAGCATACGCCTTAAAAAGGAGTTTTGACAGTGATGCGTTAGCAATGCTTATATTCATCTTGCATCCAAACTGATTTATGCTTATCTTTGACCCTGTACAAAAAGTATTACATTTCAGCCTTGTGTAAAACAGCGGCTAAAGCTGACAAAATGGAAAAAAAACATTTTAACTGTTCTCTGACATCACAGGAGAAAACATTGTACTCAGTAAAGAACACATTCAGCACCCTCAGTTTACAGGTACATTTTAGCCTCATTTTCTTCCATACTTTGTTCCTACTGTACCCTCCCTTATGGAGTAATGACCAGCAGAAATACAGATTCACATTTATGATTCTGCAGACAGCATACCATTTGACCTCTTACGATATTGCATTGTGTCCTCATGGAACCTCAGTCCATTTCATCTGTCTGTGGCTTTATGCAGATTTTCACACTGCCTATGGTCAAATAGGTGCATCTATCCTGCAATACAAAAGCATTGTTTTTGTTAACTTCCTTTTCATTAATCATGAGACTTTTCTTCTACTTGTTTCTTAGAATTAAAAAATCATGAGACTTTTCTTCTACTTGTTTCTTGCTGCAGTCAGGAGGAAGATGTTTAAACTAAATGAACCATCAGGCAGAAAAAGCAAAATAGAAATGAAAAAATGAAACTTTTTATTTTACAGCTGCTGAAGGTAAATGGTTTGGATTCTGGTACAGATTCTCATTCAACAAAATGTTCTCACCCTAATTTAAAGAATCAAATTACATTTATTTTCACCTCTTTACTGTTGAATTTTGTAATTTTCACTGTTTTGGTTGTTACAGACCAAACATCAAACAAAAACCACTGATTGAAAGGGACTGCTGACTTACACTGGTTTTCTAATGCTGAAAAATTTACATATTTCTGTGACTAAAACAACAACCTGTTGTAAATAACGTCAACGTATCACATCCAAGGGTGAAGTGAAGGGTGGAGTTCTCTGTCTTATGGTGTATGAAAAAAAATCCCCACCTTTAACAAGACATTTCATGAATGACTGTAGGCAAAACACATTTGTTTTTATACCACAAAATCTGTGAAGTGGTAGATTTTATGGGACCTTTTTTAGTATTTTAGGGAATACAGCTCAGGGATGCAGTTTACAATAATACTTGAAGCAAATACCATCAAAAGCCACAATTACATTTATGATGTCAGACTGTTTTGACATTTTATTAACTTAGACAAACAATTCTAAATTTGATCTGATTCCATATTTTTCCACACTAACCCAGTGTGTCTCAACTCTGGTGTTTGTTTGTTTTTTGACCAGGACTTTATTTTATTTCTGCACCTACAACAACTCTTAGCCTGGCTAATCTGTCTAGTTCTCATAAATATATGTAACACAGATTGGATTGATGCAAATATTTTATTTTAAATTAGCACAAAGAAACTACCTGATGTCTAATCAGGCCATTTGTCACTTAAGTCACGTCAAATAGCAACAAATCAGATTTATATCTGAGCTAAGACTAAATGCTAAAGTGAGACAGATTGGTCTCAGACCCCAACAGCACAAACAGGGAAAAACATCATATATGAATCACTTAAAACTATTTATAAATGGAGTCAAAGGTAATGTGTCTCTATACCTTCCGTACATCCTGTATCCATAAATAAGGATGTGGACGTGTCGTACTCTCACAGATCTGGAATTACAGACTTGCACACCTGTGAGACGTGAGCCAGAAAATCTTGAGCTCATCATGTGTTGTTTAGATTGGTGTGCAAATAAATCCTTTCCATTATGTTCACAGCAGTTCTCTGTTTGATTGTGTTGAGGAAACTAATAGTGGCATCAACATTTCTCAACACTCCAGGCTTCAGTGTTTTTACCTGGGGATGTACAGCAGTTGACATTCATACTGCTGGGCACCACCACGTTCACATCATCTGTGTCATAATCAATTTGAACTTTTTTTTCCTATACACGTGGTGAAAAAGTGGTTAAAAAGTAAAGTAAAAAAAAGTTTTGTTATGTGTATTTGTCAGTAACAGGAAATCCAATGCCTGTAGGTTAATCTGGAATTTTAAAAACACAAGGTAAAGTAATGCTTGGCAAGAAACTGTTTAGATAGTTGTAATATTTTTTAAATTTTTTTTTTGCACTGCTCCATCCTACTAAAACATACTTTATTTAGGAACTTAACAACATATAAAACTAGATTCAGTTGTATTCACTTTAAGTACCTTTAAATACCTATGATATAAAAAGTATTTATGGTCTGTATTTTCTTTAAGTGGTAGCTGAAGAACTTATGTGTGGTTCGCGAGCTAAAATCCATGCTAAAAATAGACTATTATAGGTGTACAAACAACATATATTAAATGACCTCATCGGTCTATAAAGCACAAGTGTACAGTTAAAATGAAAGTCCTGTGTCTCATCAACTACTAAAGTGACTGATAGGACATTTTGCAGCCACACAATGTCATGTCAATAAAAATAATAATGTCCTTTATCCTTAATCGTACTTTGTGGACAGCCGGCTATCGTCAAATGTGAACAACCAAAATGGGAAAATGTGTGTCCTTGAATGCAAAGGCAATAAAACTGACAAACCAAAGGTGACGATAACTGTTGTGTTTGTTAGATAAGTAATGGTGTTATTGGATTTATGCCCGCTTTGTGAGGTAGACCTTGGCTGTGTGGTTTGTGAACGTGACCCCCAGCATTTAACAAGGTACGAGACATGTAAATACCAGCAGTGTATTTGATCTTGATGCTGGGAATGTGGTGTTCCATTATCTTTTCCTGTTCAAAGATAAACCCTAACATTTCATTGACGCCTTCCTTTGGATTTGTTGTGTTCCTTCCTTTCCCTTCTCCTAATTTCTCAGCGTTGTATTCCAGAACCTGTGATCATCTCTCTCTCTTTCTCTCTCCATTTTTTGAATCCTCTTTGTTTTACAGGACATCTCAAGGGTTCAGAGAATCGCCACAGACGGTAAATCAGCCGTAAACACCGGCGCCATGAGGAGAGAGCGTGACGGCATTAAGGAGTGCCAGATTGAAAAGGTGAGCGTTTGCAGTCATAAAAGTGTAATGACCTCAGGACATGCGTCCATGAGTGTCACCTATTTACTGAACATGTCGCTCGTCGGACATCAGCTCAACTACCCCAGTGACAAGTGTCTTCCTGAGGTTCATTAACAGCGATAACGTTCAACTTAATGGCACATCCTGTGAATAGGTTTTCCCTGCTCAGGGAAATTCAGAATTTGTACCTTCTAAAAAATATTCCTACAATATATAATGGACTGCATCTCTGTCCTCAGCAAAAGGAGCGTTTAACAAAATTTAACATCATAATAAAAAAACTAACCAAGAGAAACACTAATATTGCATTGATGTTAGCCATTAATCATATTTTATGCATATTTAATAATTATTTTAAGCATCGATATACCAAGTAAAATGACTTTGTGTAGATGATCTCTGCAAAAATACCGATTGTGATCCAGATCTGACCATCACTCAGTATTGAGGACAAGTGTTGTCCTCCTGGCACAGAAAATTGACACGGATTCAACACAGCAGGACAGGGCAAGGTGAAACTTCAAAATTATGCAGAGCACAGTAAGCAGCTACATATCTTTAACGAAATGTCCAACAAATTCTCAAAATATCACATTTACTGACTTTCAGCTACACATTTAAAAACCTAACAAATATATTAAAAATGTAGTCCTACACCAAAGATAAAGGCATTTCTTTATCCTTCAGGTTAAAAAAAATAAAAAACCTTGAGGTCACAGTGAGACTGAAGTTTGATCATTAACACACTTATTAATACAATAATCTTATTAATACAACTTTTTAGACTTTGACTTTTTCTATGTTTTTCTATGCCTTGCATTTGTCAGCGGCATTGAACCTCACAGAGAATTATTTCATTAATGCTGTTTATAGACGGTAACTAATTCACTAACAACGTGTTTTTGGTGGGAAAACAGGCTCTCACACATCCTACCGATCCTGAAGCTCATAATGTCTGGACTGAGCAACTCTGACAATTCATAGCGTATAACTGAGGCATAGTATTTGACAGAATTTGGACAGCGAACAGGGTTCATTAGATTTTTTGACAGGCAATTATCAGGAAATAGACTCCAGCAGGGTTTAAATGACATGGCATCCAAAGAAGGAAATTTTCCATCTGTGGAAACTTGGTCAGAGACTGGACTTTAATGAAATTGTGCCAAAAACAATGTTCACTCGTGTCCAAGAATTGATAGTATAATATTGACAGCATTGTAAAAACCCCTTCAGCAAGAGGGAGAAACAATATGATACAGATAAGAGGAGACATATTTGAAACAGAGACTCAGATATTGCATTTGCTCATAAACATCACCTCTCCTCTTCCTATCCTCTGCTCCCAGTGGGCCGGGAGGAAATGAGAGACTTTTTGGAGCTTGCAGTCTATACTTCAATATAAAAGTGAGATATGATGGTTCAACATCAGTCTCATAAATGTTTTGCTTTTCCTGAAAGAAACCAATGCTTTGAGCTTCAAAACACTATATGGACAGCTGGTCTGAGGCTTCTTTCAATTCGTTCATTTTAAACTTGCATAGTTTGACAATGCAGGGTTGGCAGGACTCGGGGTCTTTGTTAGGTTTAGAAGGCTGATTTTCTTTACTCCAACACAAACACTCTCTCCAAACCACCATGGATGGATTAGTGCACCCGTAGCCCGAAGCACTAAAAGCATTTGTGTTTTCGACCCACAAAATCCTGAAACTAAAATCAATGGAACGGTATTTAGTGGGACATTACAACAATGGAAACAAAAGCCTGCAAAGGCTGATGCGTAGGAAACATCCTCAGTACATGTAGTGAAGTGAAGGTGGTGCAAAATCCTCTGCTGAGAAGTGGTCTAATTTTGCTCATGGCAATATGGCCATGGTAATAATTTGCACCCTTTGTCAGGGTGCAAATGGACCTGTCTTTTCAAGGCCTTGAGAAGGATGCTGCTGGCATAGCAACCCTTTTCTGCTGCCAATAAACCAAGAAAAGTAGGATTTCAGCACAAACCAAGTGCCGTCACTGGTGTGCCATTCGCTCACATTTATGTAAATCCCAACCTCAGTGTTCTCTCCTTTTTGTAAATGAAGTTGTACAATAAATTTGAAAAGTGTCATAAAAACAGCTTTTGTGTTTAATTATTTACATTTCTCTGCTGAACATACTTCATTTAAATCGTCTTTTCTCTAAAACAGATTCATATTTTGATCATTATCCTTGCGGTTCAAGTTCAATTGTGTGGTCCCTGGTTTGCTGTACTCTCTTCTTTTGTCTCTTTATACGCAATCAGATTGCTCGCAGCCATGTGTTCAGCTCTGTACAAGAGGAAAAACAACAACTCCTGTGCTGCAGCTTCATCCTTTTTTTGTATTGATTTTTTATGATGGATAAGTATGTCTATAAAATGTCAGAAGTGGTTGAAAAATGCCTGACTTACCTTTTAGGCACCAATGTGACATCTTGCAATGGCTTTGTGTGTGTGTCTGTTTGTGTGTCAAAAAAACAAACAAACAACTAGTGTAAAGAAATACCTGTAAAAAAGAAGCAAACGAAGCAAACAAGCCAGGGAGAGTGACAACAGGACAGTGGTGGTTGTACTGCTTGTAATCAACGTGAACAGTGTATCCATGAAATAAGATACCTTTGAACCAGATCTACGTATGCAGTGGTCTGTACTGAACTCAGATTCTTCCTCTTCTGTTTAGCCTGGGGTGGAGTGTTTCCAGAATCAGACGGAGAAATCAGCACCAGAGAGTAAAAGCCCAACAGAGCAGCAGCAGGTGAATATCACTTCCATGGTACATTTCTGTAAACTCATCTACTTCCTCTTCATAACTAACTTCTTTTTCATTTTAATTTGTCCCCTGTGTTAACAGACAAAAATATTTTTAACTCATTTAATTGATCAAATAAACGGTTACATCACTACCACATGTATTTAACGTAAAAGTAAAAAGTTACTGTTCATTATGTTGTGTTTAAACCCTTAAAAATCTAAATCCTACTTATATCGACACATAGTCTTCTAAAATATAATGTTCACTGTGACAGTGTCACTCATATTCAACAAAGCCTCAGTAAAACTGTATAGTCACACTTGTTTGCAGTGGCAGATGGTAGAGCAAAACGACAATGGATCTAAATCCAGTGCAGTTCTATACTGTCAGTCTGAGGACCAGATACGTTTTTAAAATTTTTTAACCACGATTTTCTACTCTTTGCTTTCCACACCATATATGTTTGACCCAGTAGGTAGGTATGTTTGTAGTTGTTTATATTGTAGGTGTCAGTGGTTCTCGCTGACATATGTTTATAGGTTAAAGCATGGCCAATAACTTTAACAAAAACACTTCTGTAGGGCAGGAAGTAGTACTCCAAAAACAGCAACAGCAGACAAGATATTTTTAAATGTTATTATTCCAGCTAAAGAATTTAAGGCAGTGTTTTTTTTGTTTGTTTGTTTTTTTGGTAGATAATACCACCAGAGTCACCAGCAAAGCATGGTGAAGGTTCTTTTCATGTTTGGTGCTGCTTGTTTGCAAATGTGAAAAGACAAAAATAGAATTTGGTTGTTTTTATGGTGCTCTCAAATCAAAGAAAACAAAAGAAGCCACTTATCCACCTTGCAGAACCACAGGAGCTGTCTGAAGGATCTACAAAGACTCCTTGAGGTGGTGCCATGATTCCAGTTTCTTGGATTATGGCTCAGTGGGCTGTGTCTGTAATACAATTGGGGGAAACAGAAGGATTTGAGCCAGGCCACATCCACAGACAGTCTCTGTGTGTGAGCATCCAAATCCTGCAACATTTTGCCTAGAAGAGTTATCAAAGAAGTTTCAAGTCAAGTGGATTAGTTGTCTGTTCATTCTTCAGACATTTGTCGGTTGACAAAACTTAACTAGTAACTGTCGTCTCTTTTAGATTGGTCTTTTTGTTGCTAATTTTCATTCTAAAAGCTCTTCTTTATGTTCATAATTTAACTCTTGGGCTTTGTTTAAAAGTTGTATTTTTAACTCTATACTCCCTTCTCTTTATGTTATCCCAGCCGTATAAATCGTATTTTCCTTCTGTGTGACACACTGCACTTGCCGTCCGTGGTGTAGTAAACAGTTGGATTAGCGGTGATTCACATTCTAGTCGCTGTGGATCGATTTGCAATAAAGCGTCTCAAACTTCATTGTTCTGTTTTGAGAGATGAATAACCTGAGAGACGTCACCCGTTGCATTGAGATATTTCTGAAAGAACTATTCTAATTCTCTTTCTTTGTGCCAAATCAAAAAAAAGGCCACTGGGGAAAAACACAACATTTAACTGAGATACGAAGATAAAACAACATTTTGTCCACTCACACTGGAGAACTGAAGGAATCCATTCTGTATTCAGAGGCGCTGAGCCTTGGTCATCTTTGGGAGAAGAAGTTGTAGCAGTTTCCACTCCTCTTAAAGGGCTTTCTTCAGAGTTTTTAAGTTTCTCTGTGAGAAGCGTTGTCCATTTATCCGTCTTCAGCAGACAGATGGTGTATAAAAGGGTCTGGCTCACAATCTCCTCTGTAGCTCTTTCAGATGTGATTCAATGCAGTTGCTGTCAGAGCTGTGGTTCAAGCTACTTCTTTTACACCAAACCCAACCAATCATGTCTTGATGGATGGTACATTGTGCACCACAGCACAGCCATGTAACCCAGCAGTGGCCCATTCACACTGTTCTGTGGGAATCATAGAATTGTCCAAATGTATGATGAGCTGCAGCAGTATGACTCCAGTGGAAGCTTATGTCCACTACAGTGGAAACAACATTATCTCTAAGACCAAACTTTACACTTAGTGCTCTCCGGCAAATAACACTCTGCTGGCATTAGACTAGAAACATGATTCACTGCCCTTCAGACTCTCTCCTCTGCCCACAGCCCAGTTCTGGTATGGTTTACAATTCTCCACCTGCTGCTTGGCATTCTACCTAACAATGCCAAGATTTCTTGCAGCTCAACAGCTAGGAAGTTCACACCACAATGCTCCTTGGTTTGTGTAATATTGAAGTCACAGTCTTGTCTTCATGGCACCTTTAATTTAGTGGTTTTTTTTTTAGTAGTTCTCTTTTTTTTTCTTGACGCCTGCTTCTAATTCTAATCTCATAAGTCACTCTCCTGTTAAAGGAGGGTCTTGTATGTATGCAGACTTTCATTAATGTGGACTGATCAGTGACAGCCCATTACCACGTACAGAGTGACGCTCTCAGCCAGATTAACCCTAATGTCAACAACATAGAAGAACGCAGATCACATCCACTGCTGAAGAACAACCTGAGCTTTTTAATATGTTGACTGTGGGTTCAAAATAATAATTGAAAAAATTATATTGAAATCATCAAGTCTTGTTCAATATATATATATATATATATACATATATACACATATTTACACATGTCTAAATCAAAAATGCTTTCTCAAAAAACTTAAATCCACTTTTTCTTTTTTCTTTTTTATGTTTTGACAGCAAAAACAGACACTACCTTCCCACACAGACCTACACTCTCTCACAGTGTGCAGTCTTTCAACATCATTAAACTGTAAACAAAATGCTGTCAGGACAAAACTCTGCATCTTAAACTCACCTGAACTTTCACTTCGTAGTCCGACCCCTTATACCACCACAACAATCACTGTCATTTATCTCACCGTTACACCGAACCGTCATCACAGGAAAAAAAGCTTTATACAGTATGTGCACAATAGTAGTAAAATAGTGTATTTTTAGTACTGAACTTTGGTTAAAACACAGGTGAACTCTGGCAAACATTGCACCAGTAGAAGTTGGTTGGGCATCCATTAGGTGTCTCTCCTCATCAGTAATGGTTCCAAACGTTGAGCAATCTTTCCTTACATCACACATCACATTGTCTGACTTTGGGACTCACTTGATGTATAATATGAACAAATATTGCTAAATTTGAACTGGTTCTTGTTAAAATGTGTGTTGTCTGTCTCTGATTAACATCATGTTAAAATGATTTATTGCGTTTCCAGTCTTGCTTCTCCAAAATATCTGTCTTTCAACAGCACATGAGCCAGGTGCAAGCTGGACGAAACGCCACCGAGCTCTCGGGCGACAGCACGGAGGCAGAAGGAGGCGGCAGCAGAAAGACAAAGCCACATAAACTCAACTGAGCGGACGACGACACATCCAAAATACGACGCCCCCGCGTGGCCTGAAGGATCTTTCTAAGAGCACACACGGGCGCACTCTCACAAAAAACAATGTGCGCCCACAGACACTCACACACAAACACGCAGGTTTGAACACGCACACACGGCTACACATACACATATCAGCATTGTTTGCGGAAGTTGAGAAACTGGAAGTGTTTAAACTTCAAAATGTCATCTTAAAAAAAAATCTTCATAGTAAAATGGCATGCATTCTAGAAGTTTTTTTTTTTTTAAAAAAAGGTAGCAACGGCACTGACTACTTGTTTCATGATCGTTCTTTTGGTTGTTTTACTTATATTGACTTTTACTCAGAGTGAAAACACTGCTTTCTAAATGTGTGATCTTTCTAGAAAAATCCCTTTGCACTGTTGAGGTCTGACACTGTATCCTGTGATAAGTATAAATCAGTTGACAAATAAAAATACCCCATACTTCTACTGCTATAACTACTACTACTACTACTACTACTACTACTACTACTCTTACCCAACTTAGACTATTGTTTGTCACTCATCGTAGCACGGTTAATTTACTCCTCCACAGTTTTGAAATATAGAGGCTCAAGTTGGCTGGCCAACTGTTCAACGTTTAATATTTCAGCACTCTTTCTGCCTTTAACACTCCAGAGGCAAAGAGCCAAAGACTCACAATGGGTCGTCTCCCTGAGAATGTGCCATGCACTGAGTAGTAACTCCTAGCTACATGTTCCCGTGTTATCTGACCTTTTCCGTGTCCTTTCAATAAACTGTAATTTTCAGTAAATGTGTGAAGAATAAATGGTTATTTGTTGGGACAAAACAAATCGAGTGAGCATGTTTGTGACCGCCAGAGGAAAAGGTCGCACAGTGCGTGACCATTCGTGCTTTTCACCTTTTGCCTTTTTAATTACACGTCCAGCATTATGAGTGCAGGTTGAGCTGACACACAGGGTCAGCGCGACAGGCTTTTTTTTTTTTTTCAAAAGGAGCACCCATTTGTGGCACAACTGTAAAAGGTGACCTGTAGATTTACAACAAAACCAGAAGGCCACAGCCTGACCTTTTGGTTCCATCTTGCGTGGCGCATTTATGTTGTACCGGGAATGTACTTGACTTTTATGTTCTTGCTGCCGCTGTACTCCAAGGATGAAACACACCACTTGTTGTTTTTGTCCTTTACATTTGTACTGTCATATAGCCGACATTTTGGACATTTATATTCGACATACAACATTTTCATTTTAGTAAATACATCTGTTTTGTTTTTCACTTTTAATTTGACTAAAAATGCAGTGTGTGTTTTTTTATACTATAACCATATTATATATTGTTTTAAATCACTGTTTTTATATAGGTGAATATAAAATCTGATTGGGCTTTAATGATATTCTATCAGGAAACTATGATTTTCTTATGTTTATTATTTATATAATTCAATTGTTATATACTTTATTTAATATGTATTTAATTTTTATCTTAAAACAAATTAGACAGTATTAGAATATAGTATTAGAAACATATTTAAAACAAATTAGACAGTATTAGAATATTGTCATTAATGTTCAGATAGACATTCTTTGTAGTATTCAAATGTTGATAAGAAGCCACGACAAATTAACTTCATACGTTATCTTCACACCACATTAGCTCATGTAGTGTTCATGTTTCAGCTTACTGTGTGAATCCCAGGATGATGTAACTGCTGCTAACAACCTTCAAACTTGCCATGTTCGTTACAAAGTGTCATTCAAAGTTAAAAGTGAAATGTGTCCAAATAGCTGTCCTGCGGGACGTCTCTTGTCATTTCACAAATCGAGTCTCCAGCTTCTGGCGTCCTACAGTTAGAAGTTTGATGGAAGTAAAATGTACAAACCGTGCAGCATGGTGTCACTCTGCAGTACTGCACAGTAGTTCTACACCGTCAAATTACTATTCATTTTTAAACAATTATCTGTCTTTTGATTGACACTACTTCAGTGCTTGTCTGTAGAGAACACTTGTCTGAAGTTGAGGTCTTTTTTTCCTCTGATCCTCGGTCTCAGCCTTTCCTTCCGGTGACATTTGGCGACGTTGCTGCTCCCTCCATTCTGCGTGCTGGTAAATGTTAGGTAGCAGGTGCACAGCTCTATTTTAATGCCCATAATCCATCTTTTCTTGGTGTTTGTGAGTTTCCTCCAGGTTGCGTCGACATCCTGCTGAGAGGAAGGCAAAAGTGTCTGTCACCAGGATTTGGAGACCTGCAGCAGCTCCTGCAGGTGCTGTCACTAAATCCCACAGCAGCCTTCACTGAAATATTAATGACATAAGTTGCTCAGACATGTTATAAAACACACAGACTTTTTAGGTGTTGTTTAATACGTATTCACCAAAATACACAGAATGTGGAATATTAGGAACTTCACAGTGTACAGCATCTGCTTTAAATGTCTTTATATTGATAATCTCTCCTGCCTGTCTTACGTACTTACTTATTTGTTTGTTTGACAGATTGAAAATGTAGAAAAGCTTTCCTTTTGACTCCAAAATGCTTGTCTTAAAGTATTTTCAGCTTTTCTCTGAAGCTGCAACGTCTCTTCTGCTGTAGTTGGTCTCCTCCATCGTGGACTTCCTCGTGTGTTGGTACAGTTTATGATGATCCTGTGATTGATGCATTCTCACAGTTTGATGAACATCAGGTCACAGCCCTGAGATACTGTAGCAGCCTGCAATGCATTCTTCACTGCCACTGGATTTTTTGTTAAACCACAAAAGGTGTCCATGCAGCCTTAGGAAATTCAAGCATTGCAGGACAGTTTGTAATGAAACGTATTTGAGGTGTCACCAAAAGTTGAATTTGATGTCCAGTTCCACATCTGCACTGCCCACATGCAGGTCAGGGGTCACCAACTATATTTGTCAGAGAATGTCATATGTCGGCCCGGGGGCCACCAGTTGGTGATCGTTGCTGTGGGTCCTGGATCACAGCAAAAAAGTGTCTGGTGTGGAAGTGATTGTGATCATTGAACTAATATCTAAGATTTCATTGATGCAGAACCTTTCCTGACCTTAGCTGAGGCTTTGAAGGAGGTAGTCTGAACAAAATGCAGGATCATAAAGAAACACATTTTAGTCACTTTCTTAAAACCAATTCTGTCTGTTAGTCACTAGAGCACGACTGTTTGACATCTAATTAGCCTGAAGCAAACCATTTACAATTAAGCAAGTGTTATCCACCCAGAGCTAGAATGTGTTCATTTCTAAAATATCTATCGAGGGATAAAAACCAATTACACAAATTTAATTTCACAAAATGCTGTGCAGTATATGACTTCCCTTCTCAAATGAAATGTAATAATTGTTTTATTGAATTAAATGTCTCTCAGACACTAGCTACATAAAGCACATAGTGAGGATTCGAATTGCCATGTCACAGGCCTTTTGCGAAATCACATTTGAAAGTTTTTGTGTCCTCTCCAAAGATTCTAAAATTAAGCTGGAGAACCAGATATTTTTAACCGGTGTCAGATGCCTTTTTGAAGCTGTGATGTCATTGCAATCTTCCCCACTGTTGTTATTCCACAAGTTCTCTCTGCCTTACTCCGTTTCTGCCCAGAGGTAAAACATCTTTAGCCACCATCCTTTAATGTCAAGGAGAAAATGGCAGAGATTTTCAGGGTCTGTGACTCTTCAACAACTGCAACACCAACGATTCTCTTTTCTCCTTAGAGCTTTTAAGCTGAGTGTTATATGTGACTTTTTATTGGTTCAAATCCAATTTGTCACAGATAGAAATTCTGATAAAATCTGCTGCCACTTGGGGCAAAGTCAGATCACGGGTGACCAAGGGAGCTAGAAAAGAGTTGTTTTTTTTTTACTGGTGAATTCTTCTTTTTTTTCTCTCTCTTCCATATCTGGCCAGAATAAAACATCTTAAATTATCCCTCAAATCCTTCACCTAAATGAAATTCTCTTTTATAAAATTATGAATTATACACTAATAAAATTGGTTATAAGTGACATTAAACCAAAAATAGCAGTTGGAAAACACACTTTACCTAATAATGAGGAAAAGTCTACCCATGAGCACAATGTGGAAACACATTAAAAGTCAGAGGAAAACTAACTGAAGTTGCCCTTAAATACACCCAAGCAAAACCCATTTATATTGCCATTCTCAGTATTTTCAGCAGGTATGAAATCATTCAACTTTCCCAGGGATGAACACCTTCTTGAGAGTCATTTTATTTCTTGCATGAGAACCTTTAGTATTTAGTTTATATTTGACTGTGGAAACTGAAACCTCAGCTCACCTTCCACCGAGTCCTGCTTCAATTATTCTGTTGTCACCTTATTCTGTTGTCATTTTAGGCAAATTACCTCAGCAGAAATCATTTTGTTCTTGATACAATACAATACCGTAACAATAACGCTGGTTTAAGGTTTTTTCCTTGATGAACTTTTAGTCTGATGTGCAAAAAAAGATTTTTTGTCCTAGTCACTACATGTGAGATTACAGACTGAACTTTGAAGTATCTTATTTAATTGAGTGTTTAGTTGATGAAGTGTAGATAGAATTCAATGCAGTTGGAATGACTTTCCGTTGGCTCAGTGCTTTGGTGTCAAACTCATTCTCACCGGGGGCCACATCAACAACACCGTTCCCCTTGAAGGGCTCGTTGTAACTGGAAGATTGTATAAATCAGGGGTCCCCAACCCCCGGTCCGTGGACCAGTAGCAGTCCATAAGTCATTTGGTAACGGGCCGCAGTGGGGCACAATTTTAAAATAATAGGTCATTCAGACTCTGTAACTAACAGAATAGAAGTTTAAAAGATGTTTTATTTTGAAAATGTAGTGATTCTTCAATGCTCAGCACCTTAGTACTGGTCTGTAGTAACAGGTGGTACTGGCTGACCAGTCCTTGGAACAAAATGGTATAGATGTAACTACTCCATAACAGACTAATACATGTTTCTGCAATTGATTATTATCTGATTGATTATAAAAACATTTAATTACTTAAGTTAAGAAACTCTACTGCATAGAGTTTACTAAATGCTTTTTAAGCTCCCGTGGGCCACACACAGCAGCTTTGCGGCCCGCATTTGGGTCCCGGGCCGAGTTTGACACATATGGCTTAGTGTATTTAGGAAAATTAGTTGTGTTCATTGAGGCATTTCATTTTCTTTTTTTCTTTATTGTTGTAGCATTATATATTTATACATAGATAGGATATAATGAATGCCCACAGGATAGGAAAGTATAGATGTGATGTAACGAAAAGAAAGACCGTAACACATCTACACTGGAAAAAAGAAAGAAATAGTAAGTGGACATATTATGCATTTTTTAAATGTAATGTACAGCAAATCCTTTCTTTCTAAATTATATATTATACATTTACAGTAAGTGGATTCTTACCTGTTTAACAGCCTCGTTCTAAACACTTTGTTTCTTTGCCTTTACACTTAAAAGGTAATGAAGAAAAGCTTGCACCGTCTACTGTTCATTCTGGGGAAACCTAAGGACAGCGTCATGTAACCATGGAAACATTGGTGTGTGGTGAGAGAGAACTGTTTGTTGTTATAGTAAGACCCCGAAGAAGAAGAGGAAATTCACTTTTGATGTCGTCAGTAGTTGAGTTTGTACTTCAGCGTTACTTTTATGTTTATATGTAGGTAACCAAAGTCGTGGAACCTCATTGGCTGTCTCCCCTTGTTGTTACAATTGAAAATTCACTTCTCATTCCTGATGTGTTGACATAGTATAACTCTTGTTCATATAGCCCTTTGTCTTAAATATATACTGTAGAAGAAGAACCCCATAATTTTAAGTGACAGCC